AATGAATAAATAGTGATGCAGGGGAATAGGAACTGAACTGAAGTACCTGCACTAAGTTTGCACCTTTTGCGCATCACTTGTTCTTCCAATTGAGTAAGATCCTTCTGAAAACCAACAAACTGTGGCAAATTGAAATAATATTAGATGCCATCAGTTAAACAACTAAGCTAAACCCCTGTGCAATATATATTCGGATAATTCAATATGAAAATGATTTTTAGCGAATGGGAAGTATGAAGCTCTGCATAAAGAGGCTCACTTTGTGCTTCAATGTGAAAGTTGCAGCTACTCCCCGAAGGCACATTCATGAAAAACATGAACAGTTGAGTACTGTGCCAGTTTGGTGAGGCTTTGAGTGAGTCGAATCATCACTTGAAGATTCCGATTCTTTACAGCCAATCTCCGTCAACTGTGGTAGTTAAACCCGGAAAAAGAAAAGTGAGAGAAGGGAATTGAACAAACAACTAATTAATGATTTGATTTTATCAGAGTATTAATTACCTTCTATATATGAGATGTGAGAAATCTTGTGCCATTCTGGGCCGCTCTCCTTGGCACATCTTTCCTCCAGAAGGGGACATCCAGTAATAAGTAGCTTGTGTAATTTGGTGAGGCGTTGCATAACTTCAACGGTAGGCAGATACATCAGATTCTTACAATCCCTAATATCCAGGTAGATAAGAGATGTAAGGTTACCCAACCACTCTGGAAGAGCCTCCATGCTGTCGAAAGAATCTATTCTCAAATCTTCTAAACAAGTAGTCAAGTGTTGAATTTGTTGAGGCAGAGACTTGAGCTTAGGCCACCCTGAGATCTTTAACCATCGGATTTGTGATGGAAGCTCAAAATCAGGGAAAGAATCGAGCTCTTCCCAAAACTTACCGATTGTCATATCTTCCAAACTCGTCAGAGAGCGTAGCCCCGTTGGCAAATATTTTAATTTCCGACAATCAAATATTTGTAAATTGTAAAGAGACTGCAATCTGGATATATCATCGACATCTGCCTGATTGTGGCATTCCCCGATTCCCAAGTGCCTAAGAGACGTGCAAGATTGTAGCCCCCTCGGTAGACTTGTGAGTCCCTCACAACCCCAAATATACAACTCACAGAGGGATGTGAGGTTGTCTAAACGGGGAATAGCTTCTAGATTAGTGCAATTCATTATGTAGAGCCCCTCAAGACAGATGAGGGCCTGTAGCCCATCAACCGGTAAATGCCTCAAATTTTGACAATTGTCAATAACCAAGCCCTGAAGAGAGGTGCAATATTCCAACCCACTCGGCCAGCTTGATAATTTCTTACAATATTCAATCTTCAATATGCGGAGACATGGCATGCCCTGGCTCTGGGTGGTAATTGGAATGAACTCTAGACTATGACAATTCTTTAGAGTCAACTCCTCAAGAGAGACGAGGGTCTGTAGCCCATCAACCGGTAAATGCCTCAAATTTTGACAATTTTCAATAACCAAGCCCTGAAGAGAGGTGCAATATTCCAACCCACGCGGCCAGCTTAATAATTTCTTACAATATTCAATCTTCAATATGCGGAGACATGGCATGCCCTGGCTCTGGGTGGTAATTGGAATGAACTCTAGACTATGGCAATTCCTTAAAGTCAACTCCTCAAGAGAGACGAGGGTCTGTAGCCCATCAACCGATAAATGCCTCAAATTTTGACAATTTACAATACGCAATTCCTGAAGAGAGGTGCAATATTCCAACCCACTCGGCGAGCTTGGTAATTTCTCACAATTCTGAATCTTCAATTTGCGGAGACATGGCATGCTCTGGCTCTGGGTGGTAATTGGAATGAACTCTAGACTAGGACAATTCTCTAGTGTTAACCGCTCAAGAAGACGGAGTGTGTGTAGCTCATCAGGTAAATGGCTAAGCACATTGCAATGCTCAATATGCAGCACCCGAAGATTGCGGTTGTTTTCCAGCATCCCTACTGGCAGACGAGTAAGCTCTGTGGCTCCACAAATTTCGAGGTGAGTGAGAGTGGTTAGTTGACTGCATATATTTTCTATTGCCATGACCTGGTCAATATAATGTATCTTCAACTTCTGGAGAGATGGAAAACGACTTGGAGCATTTCTCAATTCCCTGCAATTCAAAAGTGTCAACTCCTCAAGGCAGGGAAACACCGCTGCTGGCGAAATCACATCCACTTCCTTCCATTCAATTAGAGCTGGACAATTATTAAAAACTAACGTTTTCAATGATGGAAACAAAGCCGCACCATAAAACTCAACTCCCACACATTTAAGCTTATACATAGATTCAAATTCAACATGCCTAAGATTTGGCAAATGGCCGAGTGGAGGGACTTCTTCACATTCCCTGCAGTAAGATAACCGGATCTCTTTCAAATTGAGTAGACTCATCATCCATGATGCTAATTTAACACCCATGAAGTTTTCAATCTTTAAGATTTCTAGCTTAGGGTTCGGTTGGAGGCCTTCTAGTACATCAACTTCACTCACCTTGTTTTCACTCACCTTGTTTCTCCGCGAGGACTTCCTCCACTTTAATGTCAACTTTCGTATATTTGCTTTCCCTGCTAAATTTGATTTCTTCGCTTCGTCTTTGTCTTTCACATGTTCCAAAGATGAGATAGTTAGTTTACCTTTTAATTGGTTTAAGCCACCCAGCTCGTCAATTCCATGATTCCTTTCCTTATCCAAATTAAAGGAAGGTGATATTGTTTGCAGATGAGTCAATCGTCTCATCCCAAATGGAACTTCCTTATTCTCGTCCAAGTAAACATGCCTCAAGTTGATCAAATTTTCCATTTCCTTTGGAAACCTTTCAAGATACCACATACCACACATTCTTAATGTCTGCAGATTGTAAAGCTTGCCAATAGATTTTGGAAGTTCTTTGATTTCTGTTCTAGAAACATCCAAATACCTCAAGTGTTTCAACCTGCCAATTGAACTTGGCAACTCCACAATTTTAGCCTCGTATAAATTCAACACATGTAAAGCATTAAAACTTGACAAGCTATTGCTAAGGCCTTCACCATTTGAAAATAGGGACCGCAATTTCCCAACAGATTTTGACACTAGTTCTGCAAGATCATGCACAAGATCGTGCATCTTGCATGTGATAACAACTCCATCTTCATCCATTGTAACATCTTGGAAAAAGGAGTTTTGCAATAGAATATTAAAATATTCATTCCCTATATCTTCCATCTCTTGGTTACTTGAAGAGTGGAGAAATCCTTCAGCCATCCAGAGTTGGACCAACTTCTCCCTTTCAATTTCAAAATCTTTCATAAATATTGAGCAATATGCAAAACAATGTTTTAAAGGTGCTGATTTCAAATTATCAAAACTCAACCTCAAAACAGACATGATTCTATCCTCGCCTTCTGGTAATGCCCATATTTTACTTTCTTGAATTGACAACCATTCATCAGTACTGTTTTTTGAATGAAGTATGCCTCCCAAAACCTGTTGGTACACATGACATAGGATATGTATATCTCAATTTACTAATGACAAAAAAAGAAGAAGTAAACAATTAGGTAGTTTAATTGAAATTTGACTGTAATTATATGGAACATTTCATTTAGACCCCTTGAGGTTTGGCATAATTACAGTTAGACCCCACATGTTTGATTTATTATATCACAACCCTATATTACTTGTTTTAACAAACACCTAAAACTCTTTGGAATTTTATCTGATAAAAGGAGACTGGATTGGATTTGTAGCTTGGGTTGTATGTTTTGGGCAAAAAGTTTCACTTTTTTTTATAGAATTGATTGGTAGCTAGGGTTTTACGATTTTTGGAGTTTGTTTCTTCTTCTTTTTTTCTTTTTTTTTTTTCTTTTTTTTCTTCTGATGAGGTTCTTGATTGGATTGGTAGCCGGCATTGGGGTATTCTTCATTTTTGTTCTTCTAGATTCATAGAGGGAATTTAAGGTTGGTTGGGCCTAAATAGCTCAATTGGGCTGTTGATGAGGGTGGGTGTGCCTTGGTGGTTGTGGAAGTGAGAGGTGTTGGTGGCTCTGGCTGGTGGGTTGGTGGCTTTGGGATGACTTGGCTTTATTTTTTTTTCTTTAGTTTTAATCTTATATGTAGGTTTTTACGATTCAAATGACAGGCTTGGCCTTTTACTTTTAGTTTGAGTTAACATCTATTAAAAATAGGGGTGTAAGTGGAATAAATCAAATCTGGGGGGTCTGACCGTAATAATGCCAAACGTCAGGAGGTCTAATTGAAATTCGCCCATAATTATACATAGTGTTGGGGTGCAAATCTGGTTATGTTTGGAACGTTTAACTGTTAGAGTAATGCAAATATTGCACTGACAAAGTTCGTAGAAATGACGATACTCAACCAATTTTATCTTACATGCATGCTATCAAACTTCTCTGTTCTTGGGCTTTGGGAACTTATTGAGTGTGGCTGGTCTAGCGACAATAAAATTTTAATTTTATCTTTTAAAATGTTAAATATTTTTTAGGAAAATACCAGCAACATTCTCTCTAAACTTCGCTTTTGAACCTTTTTCTTTTTTCTAATGATATGTAGCACTTCTCTCTCACTCAAAAACAATGTTTTTAATTTTAAGAAAACATTAAATTGTATTTCCATATATACCTTGACCGAAACTAAAAAGTAAAAAGCCATCACAGCCCGATCCCAAGCCACGCCACCTACCCACAACACAGCCCAACCTCTCTCTCTCTCTCTCTCTCTCTCTCTCATTTGTGAGATGAGAAAAAAAAAAATCTAAGATTTTTTGACCCTCTCTAACCTCTACAGACCCTTTGCTTCCCAAATCATGAAAGTTCAAACACTTTTTTTTTATAAACAAAACCAAATAAAAATAAAAATTTGTTCAATTACAAACAACAGAGAAAGCGAAGGAGGTCAAGCGGGGGAAATCTGTGGACGGTGGGGGGCTGTTGGGTAGGGATGAGGGAGATGTTGTTTGGTGGTAATGAGGGGAGAGGAAGTGGGTTTCTTTCATATGCTTGTTTGGGTACTGGTCATGGGTCATTGCTGGGTATTAGTGTTTTGGGGAGAAGTGGGGAGGTAGAAGATGGGTAGTGGGACACTGCAAAGGATAGAGAGAGGATTGAGAGTGAGATGGAGAGAGAAAATATTTTTTAAATTGAAGAAATTAGGGAAGTTAATATTTTTAAAATTTCATTTAATAAGGGTAAATTTGAAAAACAAAAATTAACTTATTTGATTATTAATGACATTATTTTAAGTGTAAATAAAGTAACACATGCCATGACAAAAAGAGAGAAGATACAAAAGAGAAGGTTGCTAGCATTTCCCATATTTTTATTAGGCTTGCACCATGTTCGCATGCTTAACGGACTTAACGGAATTGGGTGAGGTGAAAAGTGAATGTAAGTATTAAGGGGCAAAGTGAAAATGTAAAATATTTTTGTCTATGTCTATGTGACGCCAACCTGGCATCTTTATGAGGAAAAAAATAGACCCAAAGATTTAACAAATTTTTTGATGAACTTTATGAAATCCTATTAAATGACACATAACTAGTAAAAGGGGAAGAGTGTGACAGAATAAAGTGATTGTGAAGAAAGAGATTGTGATGGGCATGATGACATGAAACTATTCTCTTCTTTCAGACCTTGTTATTTCCTTCTACATGAAAATGCATCAATGCAACATTCAAAGTAACCCATTCATGATATGATCCCTAAATGCCAAGAACTCATCCAACAATCTATAAAAGTATAAATAAATAACAATACCTGCTGTAAGCAATGCTTGTATAAAAATATATATGCGTACCTTTGCCATCAATGGTAGACCTTCACAATTTTTAGCAATCTCCCGTCCAATTCTCTCTAAATCATGAGGTATATCAGAACTACCATCTGAGCAAGCTGCACGTTTCAGTATGGACCAGCATTCATCTGGTGATAGAAGTTCCAAATCCTGTCGTGGAAGTTTTTTCTCTGAGATTGATGCAACTTTGGCACTGCGGGTAGTGACAATAATTGTGCTTCCCCGAGCGGAATCAAGCTTTAACAAACGATCCATCAAGTCATTCCATTGTGTAGAATCGTCATTCCAGACATCATCAAGTACCAGCAAGTATTTTTTCCCTTTCAGCTCTTCTTGAAGGTGTTTAAGCAGTGCATCTTGATTTTCTCTTACATTGGCTTTTGATGGGTTAAGAGATTCTAACATGGAAATTAAAATCAATTTGACGTCAAAAGGATCAGATACGCACACCCATACTTTTGGATCAAAATACCCTTTTATAGAATTATCATTGTATACAGACTTGGCCAAAGTTGTCTTTCCTAGGCCTGCCATTCCCACAATGGCCATAACAGCAATATTTTCTTGATTGGTGTTGGAGTTGGTCAAGGTTGTAACTATGTTTGAAACAACCTCCTCCCTGCCAACGATGATTCCATCTTTTTCAGGAAATGAGTCGGTTTGTATGCGTCCTCTAATTCCTTGAGGGGCTGCATCTATTTTCTTGGAAACTAGTCCAATGACAGGAGCCTCGCTCTTGAGATCCACCAAGGATGCATTGATGTTCTGAATTTTATGTGCAATTTTAAGGCGGAATGCAACCGGATTGGAGAGTGAAAAGAAGTTGAGTACCTTTTTCTTCGTATGATTTCGGATTTCTACTTTGTGCCGGAGAAGTTCATAGTTGAATTCATCCAAGACATCATCTGCATCTTGAGCTAGGCGTTTAAGATTCGTCACCCAATCTTCTACGGACTTGCTCCGACCTTGTGGTCCCTGGGCAACGTCGGCTAAGTAACCTTCAATGGTGGACAGTGTTTTGCGAAGCCGCTTTAGTTCAGCTTTGAATCCCCAGGCAAGACTGATTTCGTGAGCAGCAAGGGAAGTCAGCTTTGTCAGTATTCCCTCGGCCGCAAAAGTAAGCACAGATTCTACTGCCATCTTTGTTTCCTTGTGTAACCCTGCGCAAGACAAACAGCAGATCATATTAATGCTAGTTAATTAATTAAGAAACGAGAAGAGGAGACTGAAGATGGATGAAGACACACAGGCACAGAGCTTCTCTCGTAGGTAGAAGGAGAAGGAGATGATGAATGCAGATTTGCAATACAAGACAGCAATAGCAAGCAGAGATAGGCAGAGGAGCTATATAGCTTCTTTTTAACTCTCAAGAGGACCCGAACAACAACAACAAAAAAACTCTCAAGAGGAGACTTTTACTTGCTGGGCTCTATACCATTTTTGATATTTTAATCAGGCGTGAAAACAGCCACTGACGGTTTAAATATTCTATTCGCTATTCCTGGAGCATCTAATTCCAATGTAAGTTTATATATTTGCCTTGAAAACAACCACTGACGGTTTAAATATTCTATTCGCTATTCCTAGAGCATCCAAGGTAACTTTATATATTTGCCTTTGTCTACTCTATACATCCTACGCCGATGTATCATTGTATACACAATCATTCAATAACAATTATTCATTATAATATTTTCAGATCTTACAGCATGAACCCAATCCCAGCGAGGAGGCACACCACACACAAAACGCAGGGTAGTAAAAATATGAGGGTAGTTTTGGCATGAAAACTCCTAATAAATACTTTTTTTTTAATTATTTACTTCCAAAATTCATAATGAATACATTAAAAATCTAAAAATTACACCGAAAATTTTTAGGAACTCCTTTGTGACATTCTCTTCATCCTAAAGCTTTAGAAAATCTTATTTTGACTTACAAAAACTCAAAGTGACAAAACAATTCAAGTTTGTTTCCAACCAAACCAAAACTTCAGTTAATTTTCTACAACCTAACACTCTTATTATTTCTTTGATTCAATGGTTACCATGAACTCTTTGTGGTATCATAATTTTAGACCTCAAAAATCAAAGACCTTGTCTTAAGGACCGCATACTTTTTTTTGTTTTTTTTGGGTGTGCATTTTTCTGATTTTTAATTTAAGTTGTTATGAATTTTTTAAAATAAATAATACAAAGAAATGACACGTGCCGCTGTTGTAAAAGTACACCCGTTAGAAATACCGATGGTGCGCCTTTCAGCAGCTTCCTCGTCGTGTCAATCACTTCCATTTTATTAAACTTCTAAAATTTACAATAAATGCACTAAAATTCAAAAATACACAAAAAATTCCAAGAAACTCCTTGTGACATTCTCTAGGTCTTAAAGCTGCGAAAATCTTACTTTGACATTATGAAATTTATTTTTAATTTTTTGGCTGAGAAGTGTGTATTATTAGTTTTTTTTAAAAAGATAAACTAAAAATAAATAAATCAAATTCATGTTTTTATGTTTTTCTATGTTTCTCTTTATCCATGGACAGGGACTCGGCGCCAGACATCTCCTATTCTTATTCTCTCTCACCAACATCAAATGGAAAAAAGAAAAAAAAAGAAAAAATCTCAAATAATTTATCATTTTAGAACATGGCCACTTGGGGCATAGAAAATACCTCGAGTATCGGAAATCAATTATCATTTTAGCATATCTCTAATAATTGTTACATCTAGAGCTTTACAATCTATCTACACTATAATAATTGAGGAAATATTAATCCCATTCACACGTACATAACTTATATATTGCAATTTGCATTTAACAATTTGAATTAGGCAGGACGGGTGCATGGTAAGTAATGCAGTCATTGTTTAATCCTTTTTTGTGTCCGAATTCAAATGGATTAAGAATTGTTAATTAGTTAAAAACAAAGAGTAGGTGGTTGAGGACCTACGCAAGGAACGATTAGTAAATTGAGGACCTAAGCAAAGTGTTATGAGCACTAATTTTAAACAATCTAGAAATAATAAATAAATAAACAACCAAACAAACGAAAAGGTTAAATAAACTGACTTGATACTTGCCATGCACTTTCCTTCATAATTGAAAATTGCAAATTGCAGTTTGTTAAATCTGTTTGGCTTGGATTCACTCATATTCTAGTCTCTCACTCACATTTGTTTACTATGTAGCTTTGAATATTGTCATATAGAAATAATATCTTGTCTTTTTTTTTTTTTATGTAATCATTATGGCTTTATGTCTCTTGCATATTCTCCTATTTTGAGTATGCAAGAGGTTATCAATGAAGTGTTAGTTGGATTGACTCAGGCTTTTGGTGTATTCACAAGGGGTCATGAGTTCAAGTCACATTGGTACATGTGTGTGTGTGAGTTTCCCCATTTTCCTTTCCTAACTTTGACAACAACAAAAAAGAAGAAGAAAGGAAAGAATATGCACCAGGTTGAATTAAAATAGACTAATAATGGTTGTTTTGAGATAAATTAGATTGGTTTTTTATCCTTTTGGACCCTGTCCAACGCTGCTTACCCAAACCGGTAGTTTGAGTTTTGGATTCAAAATCCTGCCCCAACGCATGTATAGAAACGGACCAAAATTCTAGACTGTGAATAGAGTTGGGTGATAGTATTCGAGTCGGACTGAAAACTTGACTGGACCTACCAAGACAACCTACATGCAGTGAAAGCATTTGGAGCCCCACTTTGAAAGCTGAGTTTTATGTGTACGTAGTCCAAAACTTCTATTTTTTTTAAAAAAAAAATTATAAAAAGCGATATGGGGGAGGGTAGTTTTCTCACACACACTGTCAAAGTTTCATGGTGTCATGGGGCTCGAACATGAGACCATTAATCTGTAAGTCAAGAGTTTTTTTCCACTGGCCTAAACTTCATTGGCAAACTCAAATTTTTTCCCCAAAATTATAGAAAATGAGGGAATTTTCTCACATACTCCCAAAGTGTTATAGAACTAATTAATGGAGCCTACACTTTTCAATATAAGTAGCACCATTCCTCTTTTTGAAATTTTTTTACTTGTGTTGTATAAATCTGCTGCACCATTAATTCTTGCTACTATTGATGCATTGTCTTTAGGGGTGGTAATAGACCGAATATGGCAATACCATTCCCATCTCTGTTGAGAGGCTACCTCCCAAACCCGCCTAGAATTTTCGAATTTTTATTATTTAAAAAAAATCTTATATTATAACACTTTCTTTCACCTTAAATTATCATTAAACTCAATTACATTCAGTTAAATTATAAAATTCAACTCATTGACTCAAAATAATCTCAATTCAATTTCACAAAGTTAAATATATATTATATTATATTATAATCATGCATTGTTATATTATATTTAAAACTACTTATCGGGCCTATTTGGGGATGGGGATAACAATACCATCCCCGGCCTGTTTATGATCGGAGATTTATAAAATTCAGGGATCTTCGTACTTGTTCTCGATTTTTCCTGAAATCTTCCCCCATTAGGGTCGTGGACTCAATGGAAACTCGGCCCAACGAGGATTTATATTTTTTAAAAATTTTATGCATAAAAATTAACGCCGTTAGTTTTCCCAAAAAAAAAAAAACTCACTTAAAAATTGATGATTGTGTCGTGTGATAAATGGTTAGATAGCTTATAAGGCTTCAATTTAACAAAATGTGGGTAAAGTACGTGACCTAAATGTAGAGGCTCGGGATCCAACATTCAAAATACTAAAAAGAAAATGCCCTTAGTTAAAGAAAATATTAAGAAATGAACATATTCACTAAATGAGGGTAATATAGTAAATTAACAACACATTTTTTTTTTAAACAATCAAAATAAAAAACAAAACAAGAAATATTGTCCACACATCACATTTAACACACACCAAATTCTAATTACCGCACATATGCACTCATTCAAGCTCATTCTCAAGCAACAGATCATTCTTTCTCAACTCAGATTTCAGCCCAAACACTTCTTTCTCTGGCAAAATAATATTCACCACTCTTCCTTCACCTCTACCCTCTCCAAA